CACACCCCAATCAACTGGAAAATAAATTCAACATCAACAAAAAGCGAATTGCCTCAAGAAGGAGAGGGAGAATGCCTGGCCACAGGAGAAGCAGAGCTGCTATTGCAACAGGGATGACAGTTAGGCTGGATTACACAAACTGAAACCACAAAACAATTGAGAACTTCCAATTCCACCTGTGGAGGAGATGCCTGAGAGTTTGCGACTATATAATCCACATTCCTAATTAAAGGCTAGACAAAATTAGTTTAATTAAATTTAAAATAATTAAAATTCTTTCAAGTATCCCTTCTCTTCTGGAGATTTGCTTGATTATTGGGCGAACATTCAATAGTTTATTTAACATTCTGTGAACAGAATATAAATAATACATGACAAAAATAGTAATTATTGCTCACGAAAGGATCAAATCATTGAGTTTGAAAACTAAAACTGGATTCACACAAGGACAGGTCGAACTGCATTCTCCTTACATAGGAGTAAGGAAAGAAGTTCCCACATAGCCAACATGAAACAACTGACTTCAATAAAGGAATAACGAAATTCAGCAAAGAGCTCAAAGTCAAATATTTCTCCTCCACCAAAGACATTTAAATCACCACTATTTGCTAACAAAGACTAAGGAAATATCAGGATCTATACAGTAACCAAAAAATAAAGGTTGAGCTGGGTTCTCTTTCATTCCATTTTTCTGTCCTGCAAGTTACAGTCCTGCAACTCATTACAGCATTTGCCTTTTGTGGAGCATGTGTTGGCTTGTGTTCAACTCCAGATGCAAAAACCCACACATTTTCTTCCTAAGGACTGCTGCTTAATCACATGCCCCACAACCTGCATTTGTGCGTTCAATTATTCTTACTGAAATGTAAGACTTCATTTTTTTGATTTCTGAGCTTCCCTTTTTTTTTTCCAGATCTAATTATCTCCACTTTGTTCAAATAATTTTAAATTCTAGGTTCCGCCTCACACACTTATGAATTTATAACTGCTGCTATCTCTTTGCAAAGACTTCAGACAAACATCCCAACTACTTGTCTTCAGTATTTGCAAAATTACAGTTCAAATCTTCCCTTCCTTTCTGGAAACTGAAAGCTCCTCCTGCTGGCCTTTTGTTGAACTAAAGACAAACCAAAATAAACACTTGCCAAACCAAGGAAACACAAATATGCAACAATAACATTACTGGTATTTTAGTATCTTTCGGTATTCGGTGTTGAGACAAAGAAAGCTAAGAAACATCTCACTCTACAGGAAGAATTGAATAAAAGATAACTTCAAGGATTTGCCTAAAACAAACAGATTATCCACACGATCAGAAACAGACAATGTGAAATCTGATTTTTTTTCTTTGCATACCAAACAATCTGCTGCACTGACATAAAAACACAGATTATTATTTTTCTACTGTAGTGGAAGAATAAAACAAGATAAAATATCAACTACAGAGGTAAAAAAAAATCCAAAAATGACTCTCGGTCACAAGTGTTACTGATTCCTCTTCTCACATAAAATCACCTAGAGAAAGTGTCAGAGTTTTAGTCACAGGTTTTTATTACTCCTGATCGGATGTGATTTGCATGAAGAACTGAAATGTGGCTTCATTGCTCAAAAAATAAATTTTAATAGGGTGATTCCCTTCTGGTGGGCTTAAAAAAAACCACAACATGTTAACAGCCAAGAGTAGACTTTCAAAGCCCTACTTGAACACTAGGTATTTCTCCTTCCCACAGTTCTTTAGCAGAAGTTCAAAGCAGATTTCCAGATTACTTGAGTCAGACACAGAACAGCTGGAGCCAGCAGAATGTACAAAGTTAGATAATCTTGTCATTATTTCAAGTGACTATTGAGTACAAGAGACATGCTAATTAAAATTCATGTATACATAGATGAGCATCCAGGTTAACCCAGTAAAGCCAGCAAATATCTATCAGTACTGATACCCTCAGAATGGGGAATTAATTTACTGCTTGAAGTTCACCCAGGAGTCTGAACTCAGCCATTAGCCCTCTTCCAGTTTTCTGAGATTGACAAAAATTTCAAAGTCTGAGGAAGACAAATACCAGCAGAATAATACCATCACACAACTCTTAACACTTTGCATCTAACTTACCTGCCCCTTAAGAAGATTTCAGAATTCACTGCCCTTTTCTTCCCCCCCTCCACTATTCTTCAGAGTCCTGGGAAAACAGCCTGTGTACTCCCCAGTGTTGCAAAGTTTCCAACAGTCTTTGGGAGCTCATTTATTACTGACTGCACAGACATCATACCTGAAGGCCCCATAATGCATCATTAAGGTCAACCTTCGAAGATGACTCATCTTTCTCTCTCTCTAGGTCACTCCACGTGTTCTCCAACCACCTTTCACTAGAACTCTGTGCCATTTGCAGAGGAGTCCACACATTCTTAATCCCACCTTTCTGCTTTATCAGTAACTCAAACTGGTAATTGCGTTTTCCACTTCAATGAGCTAGATGGACTCGGACATTTTCCTCTGTGCTCTCTTAGTTTGGAACTCTCAGACTGCTTATTAAACTATTATAAATAGCTGCAAACTTCAGAAAAGCAAAAGAACTATTTAGATGGCCAAAATCAACTTAATCCAACCTTGCTGATAACAAGCCCACACCTGTTCACTGAATACCTATTCTTTTTTTCCCCACTCATTATCAAGTCTGACAAATGAACCCTCCTATTCCCTCCAGACCCTCTTCCTTCTGGTTACGTGAGGCAGAAACTTTCTAGGGTGGCATTTCATAGAAAGGTTTCTCTTCTCATGCACAGCAGAGTGTTGAGCCTAGAGTTCCCAGATCACACATCTTCTCTTTCAGTACGCTCAGCAGAGTGCACTGCATGCAGGAACTGAGGCTCCACTCAATATGGCACATCCAGGGCAAGCTACATCATTATCCACACCGGTCACCTAGAGTGAAAATAACGCTCCCCCTCAAAACTTCCTCCAATATTCCCCCTATTCATCACTCCAATTCATCTAGCTCAGCAGTGCTGATAAATAAGTCAGCTGCCAGTCATTATCACTGCTCAATTAAACAGCCATGTCAACAGGGAGGGATTAATTACTTCGGGACTTTGAAGACCTGCAAGACCTTTAGCAAGCTATAAGAAGAAAGATGATAAGCAGAACTAAGTGCTCTGCAGATCCATTCCTCAGTAGAGGAAAGGCTAAGAAACAAATTATTAAAAATACAGTAAAAAAAAAAATTAATATTTTTCTTGAGAGTGTATGTAGGCCTGTGGTACTCATTACTTCTTATACCATTCAGGCCCTGAGTTTAATAACAAACTCAGTTCTAACATTTAAACATGTACCATCTAAGCTTGCATAAGATAAAATACACAAGTAATAAGCAAGACACAGTTTTCCAAAAGATTTTTAATTTTTGTTTTGAAGCTGCAGATGCTGGCAGTCACTACTGCAGCCAGGAACACTGAAACTGATCAGGAGCAAAACATCCAAGATCTTGTGCTACTGCAGTTAGTCCATCTCTATTACATGCTTTGAAATAGAATGTTGTAGGTACAAAGAGCCACCAGTAAGTGGACATGGAGAAGAGGTAAACAAAATATTTTAATTATTATGCAAGCTATTTTAAAAACTCTTCGAATTTATAATACCCTTAACCTCATCCTGCATGACTGAGGGTTGGGATTGTGGAGTGCTGCACATTCCTCCTTTGTCCTAAAAGGCAAGGAGTCCTGTCACCTCACATCAACAGCAAGCAGAATGGCTTGCATTCGGAAAAAGTATATCTTGAAAAGCAAACCTTAAGGATTAACTCCCAGATTTGTCAATTCAAAAGTGCAGAAGAAAACCTTTCGCATCATCCTGTTGAAATTAGTAGGCATCCCGCCCTCTTTCTACAAAAGGGTAAAGACCAGTCTAGGTTTCTCAGTACTCAACTATCACCAAAAACTGCACTCAGATTAGGAATTTAAAAACAAACTAAATTACACTTGTCCAACATATTTCCTCAAGCTAACTTGACCTTTAATGACAAATATGCTTGAAAAAAAATAAATCAGACGTGCAAATAGAATTAAGCCTTATTATTTTCAGACCTCCAACTTGGCAGTGCAAGGCGAGGCAGCGAGCGCAGAGGGAAGGGCGGATCTGCTCGGTACCGGCCCCGAGCTCAGCCCAAGACCGCCACCCGCCGACGGCAGCGCAGACGGGCCCGGCTCTGCACCGGGAGGAGGGAAAAAAAAAAAAAAAAAAGGAAAAAATTCCTAACGCGAATACGAATTGTCCTTGGTAGTAAGACTACGCCGTTAATTGTGTTACCGGCTGAGCAACGTCAGAAAAATGTGCAAATACTATATGTGTGCAGGAGTAATCGCTGTTTTCTCATAGCTCAGCCTAAAATGCACCAAAAAAAAAAAAAGCCAAACGTGAGTCATCTTGGGCTGCTGTGAAGATACTATATAACTTCCCACGTACAGGAAAGTCGCCTAAAGACGATATAAACAGTTTCAAACTTAAAATGTGAGCCCCAAGAAGCAAATTATTCATTAAAAGGTATACAACGCACGCGGCGTGATGCAAACCCGGTGAAGCAGCACTCTTCAGGGCCTACAGAAAATAATGGCAATCCCACGGAACGCTACACCCAAATACAGAGACCACGGAATGGGAGTGGTAGAGAAAAAAATAAATTTCAAAATCACCACCTATCTTGTTTCGGAATAAGAAACGCAAGCCGACTATGTAAAATAGTCACATGAGGGTTTTTTTTTTAATATTATGTGCAAAAATGTTTAACCAACAAGCAAAAACCCAAACATCACTGCCTCTTTTAGGACAGAGGAATAGAAACAAGAAAATGTTAACCAACCCGTCCTAAAATTTCAGAATTTCCCTTTGTGGGGAAAGGGATAAAAACTCCTATAAATGTTTTATTTCTGCTCGCATCTGATTAAAAAGTAACCCGGACCTCTGTACCTCCCTGCCATGATGAATCATGCTCTTCCTGTCCCAGCCTCACCTTGAAATTACTGGAGTTGACCCATCCTGTTAATTCATCGATCACTTTATCGAGGCGTTGCTGGTCCTGCTCCACATCTGGGGACTTCGCCGGGTCGCTCAGGTACTCCAGGAGCTCCTGGCCGACCTGCATCCTGCGGCCCACATCCTTCTGCTGG